AGGTATTTTCCAGCTCATCAGTCGACTGACGACCTTATCAGTCAACTAATAACCTCATCAGTCGAATGGTCAGTTGATCAATATAAAAACAGAAACTATTGATGATTCCAGGTGTTTTATCAGTCGACTGAACACTTTCATCAATCGACTGATAACATAATATCAGCCTGTTTGAAACAGTAAAACTAATTTTTAAAGTATCTTTAAAAATAATAAATAAATTCTAAAAATATAAAACTTTGGGAAATGATTGTAAACATGTTAATGAACATGTTACAAAAATAATTTTTGGAATTGCACTTCACATTTGTGAAAACTCAAGTAGTCCAAAACATGAAAATACAACAACACTTGTTTTGTCATTTTGACTAAACTATATTTTGAAAACTCTTGTATGGCTTTATAGACTTGATAAAAGGTATGAAGTATTATTTTAAAGTCTACAACCCAAAAACTCAATATATTTCCAAATATAATAGAATATGAAACGTATAATGTGTATATGAATATATATTTAAACCAAAACAACTTAACCATATGAAAACAAACATGTATATATATAATATGAATATATATTTAAACCAAAACAACTTAACCATATGAAAACAAACATGTATATATATAAATATGTATTTGTTTCATATTTAAACTTGAAAATCAAAAACCAAAACTTGTGTATATATATATATGACTATATATATAAAAACAAAATATGTGTCTCTGTGTGTGTATTTGAGCTTAAAGTACCAACACACATAATATAACCTAAAACTAAATTACCCAAGTTTGAAGGTCTTCAATATAGCTCCACTTGGTAAACTGTGCAGATGAAGCTTAAACTTGGATCTTGAACTTGAATTGCATTGCTTCACTCTACTATTTCGCAAGTTTGAAGGTCTTCAATATAGCTCCACTTGGTAAACTGTGCAGATGAAGCTTAAACTTGGATCTTGAACTTGCATTGCTTCACTCCACTTGGTAACATTGGATATGATTGTTGAAGCTCAATTTCATCCATCCTCCAACTTATTGTTTGTCTACAATAAATAGAAAAATACAAACACTAGATAAACAACCTTAGTAGTAAATTGTTTGTTAAAATGTCATCAAAACAAAAAGGCCAACAACAACCTCCCCCAAGAGCCTGTGATATAAAGTCTAGATCTACTCCATCCAGATAAATATCTCTTGCTCCACCAACACCCCCCAAGCCGAGTAGCTTCGGAGACATAGGTGGAAACCGACATTGGGAACCCCCTGTAGGAACTTCTTATCATGAGGGAGCCAAAACTGGACAACCACCTTCGACCGAGTCATGCGAGAACCAATAATTGTTTCCCTGATGTCAAGGTGGTGAAGGGGCTAGTGGCGATGCTTTGGGTCGGGCTCTTGTGCATGTTGGGGGCTGACCCCCAAAGTCCTGATGAGGTAATGCCTAATCTTATCCCATTATTCCTCTGCAATCTCATCGATGCGATGGGGATAGGGATACTCTAGCCCTGTAGGAGGCACTGTCTCCTCTTCGACCGGCTCTCACCCTCATCGAGTTGACCCACTATGGTGAATGGATGACCCTCCCTCATCAGCTAGAGCTCTGCGTCAGCTCCCTCTTCTAAGCGAGCCTCGACTAGCTCTCGAGTCGACTCATCCATATAGATGACATCGTTTCGTCATCTCAACCATCGCCCGAGGTTTCTGTTCCTCATCTTCCCTCTGGGGCCACCTCCTTTGTCTATGGACGAGGGTGGCAGCAGGATCCTCCTCAGCCGTCTCGTACTCTATTGAAGAAATGTCTCGATGAAGATGCTTCACGGGCCTAGAAGAAGGCCCCTCCTGGGGATTAGCCAAAGGAGCAGTCGGCATATCGCCGCTTCCATTGTCCCTAAGATAAGGGCTGAAGCCCTCTCCTGGTCCTTGGTAGAAGGAGGCACTACTAACACATAGGAAACTAGCAAGACTGAGTTATCAAGCAAATGGTCAACTCGACGAGAGCCAGCGTATGCCTTAATCTGGTCAGGCGCATCCCTCTTGACATCGAGCAAGTGACCCTCAATGAGCGCCTCCCTCCTTATTTTGGGCTAGTTCGAGCAGCCCAATTACAAGTCATCCCCTACGACCCAAACAAATTTCTCTTTCCAGTCCTTGTGTGAGTCAGGAAGACCAGTGATGAGCCTGAACTTCCTCACCATATGAAAGTGCAAGCAAGGTTTAGTCTGGTTCACCTTCACAGCCACTAACCGGCCCAAGACCCCCAAGGATGGCTTTATCGCTAACCAGTAGCATATCACCATGAACCCCACCAGGATGACGATGGCGTTCAGCTTCATCTGGGCCGACGATAAACCCTAACACCATGAACACTTGATGGAGGAAGGGGTGTAGGGGCACCCACAGACCGTATTCCAAGTGCCTCAAGTACAAGGGATCCCAGTCCAATCCATGATCGTAAATGTACTCCGACTTCGTCGGGGCCACCAGATCATACTCCCGAGGGACATCAAACCTCCCATGGAGCACCTTCATCTGCGCCTGAGTCACTTTGGAGTGGAGCCCCGCCAGGAGAGCTCATCGATCAACAGGATCAGATGCCATCAAAGATTGCAAAAATGATCGCCAGAGAAAGATGAATAAGAAAGGTCTTGAGTTCTCTAAAGGAAATTTCAAAAGGCAATAACTACCATCTCTCTGGCTTTAGCTCTATATATAGGCAGCTGGACCCATAACTGCAGAATCTAGACCGCCGAATCAAATTCTGGTCAATGGCTAAGATTAATTATCAACATTCGAAGCGACATCTCAGAGATCGAGGCGCAGCCAACTCACCACAAATAGCCCACAATCTACCAAGAAAAGAGGAGTTGTGGGAGTCAAAAAGAATGTGTAGTGATGTCAGCCATACAAGTATGATATGAATTTTCAGTTCCCTCATTTAATTCACACCCACATCTGTCCAAAGCGACTTTCATTTCACTCGGACCCAACTAAATCCGACTCCAAGCGAAAAGGGCCTATTGTTATGGTGTTTTCAATCACCAAAGTGTAACCCTTTGCCATCAACGGATATGTGTACTTTTGCATACAATGCCCTAATCAAATTGGCGGCCAGAGACCAACAAGGATTATAACTTAGCCGACTCGCCGAGTCGACATTCCTTCGTGTCGACTTGAATAGCGGACCTTGTCAGCCCTCTTGTTGAAGACAACTCGCAACGAGCCCACTCAACCTGCTATTCAACGCCTCACAAAGACAACGCGAAAGGCGTTACTTCTCTACGAAGCTAGAGGATGACTTCAGCCTCGAGCCTCTCTCGCTGACACAATGTCGACGTTGCATTTAATGCTTGGCAGACATCATCATACTTCTAGCCCCGATAGCCTTCATGACTCATCAGACCACGTCGGCACCACCATTCCTCAGATCGCTTCATATTTAATGTTGATGTGATCTCTCTTCCGCTCACCGAGCAACGCGTGTAAAGTAGGTACTGACACAGCCACCAACACATGCTTCTTCACCACATGGTGTGCTCGGCCGAAGTGACAATTCTACAATTATTCCATCAGCATAAAGATGAGGTATTATTCTAATAGAAAGGGGTACTATTCTAACAGAAAGGGGCTTATGACTTTTTACTTTTGCTTCTTAAGCCATATCGGCAAACTACTGCACACACAAGAATCATTTTCCCCACTCACGATCACCAGATAACTTGATCGTCGTAGGAACCACGGGGAACCAAGCCCCGGCTTTTCATGAGTTGCAGGCTTCAGTAACTCAACTCAGAACAGAATATTCAGGGAAGGAAGTGGCCCCTCATTAACTTCACCCCCATCCAACCATTTTTAATTGACTGTGTGATCATTTAACATCAACAGAAAGCTTAAATCGATCCTAACCTAACTTATTATAAAAACCACACCGAAGTGCCAAAGTTCGGGCGTTTCGATCGTTTAATCAGTTTAAACTATACTTTGCTCAGCCCTAAGTTTAAACCCAATATGGACATGGTTAAAATAAATCTAAATTTACTTGGTTTTTTCTCCAATGATTAGTAAAAGATTCTAATCTAAAGTTGAGTTTCACAAATCGTTGAAATATCAAAGTTTTTTCTCCAATGATTAGTAAAAGATTCTAATCTAAAGTTGAGTTTCACAAATCGTTGAAATATCAAAGTGAGAGGTAGTTCATAGTAAAAGATTCTAATCTAAAGTTGAGTTTCACAAATCGTTGAAATATCAAAGTGAGAGGTAGTTCAGTCATGCAGAGTTTTGGTTACTCAACGATGATAAATGTTTTTTAACTGAAATACTAACTCATGAACCATTTTCCAAGATTCCATAGGAGTTGAGGGAGTAATATGTGATTTCTAAGGCTTGAGGGAGTAATGTGCAATTATTGAAGATTTAAGAGACTAGATGGTGGACCAATATGAAACTTATTGAAGATTTAAGAGACTAAATGAGGGACTACTATGCAATTATTGAAGATGTAATGGACTAATATTTAAGAAAACCCTAGATTTTATATCGGATTCCTCAACGGAAAAATAAAAGGCCAAGGTCTAGTTTGGAGTCCTTATTAGATTTTATATCAGTCCTAAACAAAAAAGAAATATGGAGGTTTTCGCTTATAAACCCAAAGTTTGAATCTCATTTACGAAAACCCCCACCTAGTTTTATATATTCCAATAAACCCACCTACAAAGTTTGTTTACCTTTGAATCCAAACTATAAAATTACAAGTGTATAGCAATACCATATGGTGTATAGCTACATGCTACAAGTTACATAATTGAATTGTATAGTGCGTATAACTACCTGCTATATGGTGTATAGCTACGTACCCGATTGTATATTGCTATACATATTTTGTATTGTAGAATTTGGGTTAGAAGGTAAACAAATTTTGCACATTGGGTTTACTGGAACATATAAGTCGATATGGGTTTTTTTAAGGAAACGCGAATAAAACTTTGGCTTTTGTTGGAGGAGTACTTGGAGGCTACAAATAAACCCCTCCTGCAACCAATTTAGCCTAGAAAAATATCTAAGAGCGATTTAGTCCTCAAACTTTCATGTCGAAACGACGAGTTCGTTGAAGAGACATCTACGCCGTCAAGGAGTGGAGATCGGATCCGAAAAAATCAACAATTTTTAGATAAAAAAAAAGGTATGAATTGCGAATCGCTTCTCTATTTTATGATTCATGCCTCTTGCATCCAAGAATCACAGCACCAATGATAGTTGAAAACCAACCAAAGCTGAAGGCATCAAATATTTCAACTGAAAATTTCAGCTGATTGCTTGGATATAGATTTGCAAATAAATTTCTTTTGAATTAATTTAAGCAGCGTATTCCCTTAAAGAAATTGACTTATAATGACGTGAAATAAAAAATTGCAAACAAGTTGATGAAGCATAATCAATATCAATCTCATGTCACGCTGATGGAAAGATATTGTGCTTTCCTCGGTTCATTCATATGTGAAAAGAATTTCCCTTGGAAATATTCAGAAAGAACTATTATGCCAATTATTTATTATGTGCATTGTTTTGTTATAAATAGCTATATAAATGTTGGGACCCCGAGCCCGTTTACAAAGCCAAGCCCATAGGAAGCCCATCTAGCGCCCGTTTACAAAGCCCATCTAGTTTGTTTACTTCTCTTTGTGACTCTTGCGATGGAAGCCCATCTAGCGCCCGTTTACAAAGCCCATCTAGTTTGTTTACTTCTCTTTGTGACTCTTGCGATAGACACGCGTCAGAATCTTAAGGGTGGTAGGTTCTGATTAGGGTTCGGAAGTTACTTCGAGGGCCTGTTTTGTTGTCATTAGTAAACTTGTTGTGTATTTATGACACGAGTGAGAAAATTGACATCCACCTCACCAATTTTAATTTTATCTTTTCCTTTGCTTGGTTTGCATTCTAATCAATTCATGAAATTAAAAAAAGAAGTGTGTTTGGTTTGCATAATGTGCATTGTAAAATGGTAGTCATGTGGACCCCACTCAATGGATAATATTACCATAGGTAAGATTACCTCCATAAAAGAGAAACAAAAATCTCATAACCATTTCTTATGATTATCATACTCTATCAAAAAGTCATTTACTCTCAAAATAAACCATTAGAAAAATAATTCGTTTCACTCACACTACCATGTAATTCGTAGCTAGATCCCAAATAAAGTCATTTATCTCTTTACACCAATATTGACTTAATTTGCTCATTTCCTGAAGCAGTTTTGTGAGTCATTATTCAATTTCTTCAACCAAAAATAAAATAAAATGAAATTCACAAGCAACAGACACAAAATTAAGATCAAACAGCTACTTAATTTAAGTTTAAAAGTCTTACATATATAAGCAACAGACACAAGCAAATTCCCATAACGAAGCACTAAAACATACACCCAGACAAAGAGAAAAAGTTCAACCTGAAGGAAATCAAACCAAAAGATACCATTTAGTCATAGACTCCCATAAATCAACGACAAATTAATGATACTAATAAGGCATTCGAAGACTCTTCAATGTTGTCCTCAACATCTATATTAGTGGTTAAACCGTGCTCCGCCACATGGTTATTCATCCAAACCACTTTAGACTCCAATGGTTTTGCTATGAATCGCATAGCATCCCTCTCATTGTCATATAGAAGCTCAAACGCATGATCTAATACATGATGCGGGAACTGATGAAGAGCATGAACATTGTCAGCTAATCTTTCACTCCAATGTTGATTGAAATTTTGATGCGGGAACTGATGAAGAGCATGAACATTGTCAGCTAATCTTTCACTCCAATGTTGATTGAAATTTGAAGCGCACATGCAATTTCACCCACTTTATCAAGAAAGTTAGTCATCACTATAGGATCTTCATGGCATGCACCCCGACGCTTGTTTGCATGTGATAATTTTTCAATCCTGGGAGTAGCTTTGGTATCCTTTCTATTTGTGTCTACATCTGAGGATGATCCCACGTGAACAGGGGATGTTGTTGCATGGATGGGTGAATCAAGATCTATCGAATCACTGTCTACTCCTTCAAACTTGTGATATATGTTCTTTTTAAACTCCCCGGTTAAAAAATCATCTCCAATGATAAGCTTCAAATCATCAAAATGCTTTAGTGGCTTGTTGATATAATCTTTTAATTTCGGATTTTTCTGAAACAAACATGGCATTATGTAACAATTAGAATTATTTGAAAGAACAAATAAAAAGGAATTTGAACAAATAAAGCATGCTAGTATATATTCAGATACAACACACATGTATCTGTTCTGGTTTTAGAACAAATGTAGCAGAGTGTGGTATTTGTACCTCTGCAGATATAGCTAACTCAGCAGTGAGTTGTATTTATACATGTATAGATACTATAGCAATCTTTATACATGTATAGAACAAAGTGATGCCTTATGAAATGACAATCAATCGCAATGTGTTTTGTGCGCTCATGAAACACTGGATTGGTAGCAATCTTTATTGCACTTTGATTGTTGCAATAGAGAGGAGTCGAAGAGAGACAATCAATGCTCATGTCACGCAAAAGCTGTCGCAACCAGATAATGTCAGAGGTAGTATTAGACATAGCTCAATACCCCGCTTCAGCACTAGATTTTGATACGACATCTTGCTTCTTAGCTCGCCATGATATTAGAGTATCACCAAGAAATACACAAAAATCGGTAATAGATCGATGATCGCTAATGTCACCAGCCTAGTCAGAGTCAGAGAAGGCACGCAGTTGTAGCTTTGATGTTGAGGAGAACAAAAGAGCTCTAGATGAAGTGCCACGAATATAGTGTAGAGTACGAAGTACAGCAGCATAGTGAGCTGAGGTAGGAGACTGAACAAATTGACTCACCACATGAACAACATAAGCAATGTCTGGTCGAGAAATAGTGAGATACACCAAAGAACCAACAATTTCACGATATCGAGTAGGATTTTTCAAGGGTTCCCTTGTATCAGGTGCTAGCTTTTAATGGAGCTGAATAGGTGTGTCAGCGATCTGATCATCAGCCAACTCAGCTCGAGCCAAAAGATCAGTGATGTATTTTTGTTGAGAAATAAGATATCATTGTGGTCCATATGCAACTTCGAGGCCTAGAAAATATCGAAGATGCCCTAGATCTTTCATCTCAAAAGTTTCATGTAGATGTTGGCCTTCTTGTTTTGATGATGATTTACAAACAATTTACTTCTAATGTTGTTTGTCTAGTGTTTGTGTTTTTATATTAATTATAGACAAACAACATGTTGGAGGATGGATGGAATTACGCTTTAACGATCATATCCAATGGAGGTTGGCGGAATAGTGGGTGAAGCCTATGCAATTCAAGTTGAAGATCCAAGTTCTAGCTTCATTCGCAATGTGTATCAAGTCAAGCTTATTGAAGATCAAGATCAAGCTTGGGTAACATTAGTTTAGGTTTATATTATGTGTGTTGGTACTTTAAGCTCAATCATATATACACACACGTATTTGGTTTCTATGTATATATATATATATATATATATATGTTTTGGTTTCCAAGTTTATATAAATATGAAATTACATATTTCATATTTATTATTGTGTTTTGGTTTAATTTCATAGATATGAAACAAATATATATTCATATACATCCTTATATGCTTCATACTCTATTATGTTTGAATTTATATTGCATAGAATATGTAATTTTATGAAAATATTGTTTTATTGGTTTTTGGACTTAACAATAATCATATACATCTTTTACTAAGTCTATATAATCATTTTGTAATGTTTCAAAACATGGTTAAGCTAAAATATCAAAACTCATATGTTTACATTTTCATGTTTTGGATCATTTTAAAAAATAATGATATTTTTCATTTGGGAGGTTCTTTTTAAAAACCAGTTTTTGTAGCATGCTTATTATCATGTCTACAATCATCTTCCAAAGTTTTATAATTTTTGGAATTTATTTGATGTTTTTTAACTTGGTTTGAAGTTGAGTTTTTCTGTGCACTTTAGGTCTGTGCATGTTTAGTCGACTCTTAAGTCGACTCACGAAGTGCAGCGCAGTTATGATTTTTTTTCTGCTGAGTCGACTCATATAAATCGACTCATAAGTCGACTTATGAAAGAGCCATTGCACAGTAACGGTTAGTTTCCATCGGTGTTTTTTGGGGGCTTTTTTGTCTTTTTAGTTGGGTTTTGGCTGATGTCTTGGGTTATTATAAATACCCCATTGCCTTCAGCTCTTCAACCATCTAAGAGAATGTTTTAACAAAGTTTTAAACAAGGGTTTAATGTTTGTTTAGAAGCTTTTAAGCAATTGAGTATTTGAGTTTGTGAAATCAATTCTACAAGAGCTTGAGGAGATCATCTATTGGAGTTTGAGTATCCAACTATTCTCTCTCTATCTCTTGATCCATTGAGAAGTTTTCTAAACTCTATTTCTAGCTCTTTTATATATTTGATTATCATTGTTATTAAGCTAGAATTATATTGAGTTTAGTTTTGATTTATTTTATCTCTTTGTACATACACAACCATTGAGCTTATTGTATTTGCATACATTGTGTAATTGGGTTGTGGGTTTGTGTGACTTAGAGAGTGGGCTTACAATTCGTTCTCATCCATTGTAGAGAACAAACACTTTGTATTTGAGTCTAATTGTGTTGAACACTTTGTAATACACTAGTACACCAAGAGGAGTGTGTGATGAAAGATGTGGTCATCCCAAGAGGAGTGAGGTAGGTGGTAATACCTAGAAAGAGCTTGTAATTTCTAACACTTGAGGGAGACACGGGCTAGAGACCAATACTTGAGGTGGTAGTTAGTGTAGTTACATTGTGAGTGTTGTAAAGTTTTCGGTTAGCTAGAAAACCGTATTGTGAGGTGTAAACGTTTTTCGGGTAAGCGTAGAAAACCCGGTGTGATAGTGGAGATCTCCTCGAGGTGAGGAGCGGAGACGTAGGTCGTGGGGACCGAACTCCGTGAACATATCGTTTGTTTGTGATTGCATTGGCGCACTTATTTTCTATGTTCATATCTTATATCGTCTTTATATATTGCTCATTGTTTATATAACCCACTATCTAGTTTAGTTTGTTTACCCTTGAGTGTATTGTATATCTTTGCATATATCTCATAGCATATCTTATTGTTAGGATATAGCCATTAGTTCATATTGCATATTCTTGCTCATAATTAGTTGTATATCTATCTTACAAGAATATATTTGTTAATAAGTTTTAATTAGTATTTAAATCGGATTAGATTAGCATAAACCATATTCAACCCCCCCTCCTAGGGTCTAACAATAGAGAAGTCTTCACAGTATTCAGAAATAAAGGATCACTGCCAATAATGACCATATCATCAACATAAAGGAGAAGAATAGTGTGGCCTCGACTAGAGGTATGAACAAACATCGCATGATTGGCCTCACTCTGAATAAAGCCCATATTAAGTATTGCAGAGCTGAATTTCTCAAACCAGCCTCGAGGAGCTTGTTTTAAGCCATATAATGCACGACGAAGATGACAAACTTGCCCTGACAAATGAGGAAGACCTAGAGGAGGTTGCATATAAACTTCTTCATGAAGATCACCACGAAGAAAAGCGTTCTTCACATCAAGCTGATAGAGAGGCCACTGGTGAGCAGCTGCAACAGCAATAAGAGATCGAACTGATGTCATTTTAGCTACAAGAGCAAAATTATCCTCATAATCAATCCCATATTCTTGGGTAAATCCTCGAGCAACTAGACGAGCCTTGTACGGATCTATTGTACCATCTGAACATGTTTTAATTTTATAAACTCATTTGCAACTAATTGGAACTTTGCCTGGAGGTAATGAGACAAGATCCCAGGTACCAGTCTTTTGAAGGGCGGCTAACTCTTCCTTCATAGTTGCTCGCCACTCAGGAGAAGAAGCAGCCTAACGATAAGATGTAGGCTCATGATGCGAATGAATAGTTGTCAAGAAGGCATGAAAAGTAGGAGTAAAAGATGAAGAAAGACAACCAAAAAATTGTTTTGCCTTACGAATACGGAGAGGATAGCGACGATCAGCTAGTGAAGAATCATCATCCTGAGCCGAGTTTGAATGGTCAGCAGGTGAGGCTGGAACATGTACACTTTGGTGATCATCAGATGATGAAGATGGAGATGGAGATGAAGGTGATGAATCTACTGGAATCGAAGGTGTGGTAAGCTCAAGAAATGAAAGATCAACAGAAGTAGGTGATGTATTATTATCATTGATGGACTGTCTAGAGTAATATGAAATATGCTCCAAAAAGGTCACATCTCAGGAAATGCGGAGTCACTTTTTAATTGGATCATAATAGTGATATCCTTTGTGCTCAAGACTGTATCCAAGAAGAACACAAATTGCAGAACGAGGAGATAATTTATCTCTTTCATGAGATGGTAATAGAACTTAACAAGTACAGTCAAACACACGAAGATGTGAATAAGAAGGACGACGGGATGTTAATTTTTCAAATGGTGATATGCCAGAAAGAACTAAAGAGGGCATCAAATTGATGAGATACACAGCTATAGCAACAGCATCAGTCCAAAATTGTTTAGGCATGGAGCTAAAGATGAGTAATGATCTTGTAGTCTCCATAATATGATGGTGTTTTCTTTCTTAAACACCACTTTGTTGATGTGCATAGAGACATGAAAGCTGTGAAAGAGTACCTTGATCATCTAGAATACGGTGAAACTCATGCGAGAGATATTCACCACCAGAATCAGATCGAAAGGTTTTAATAGTAGTGCCAAACTGGGTTTTGATCATAGTAGTGAAATCTTTATAAATTTGAGGTAGAGATGAGCGGTGATGCATAAAATAAACCCAAGTGTAATGAGAAAAGTCATTAATAAAGATAACATAATATTTATTACCATTACAAGACGATAAGAGGGTTAGGCCACAAACATCTGAATGAACGAGTTGAAATGGGAAGCTACTTTGAGACTCGTTAAGAGGATAAAGTTTAGTGACGTGGTTAGATAGTTTACATCCCATACAAGTAAACAAACTCAAAATGGGATAATTACCCAAAACGCCATTATTTGAGAGAAAGCAAAGACAATCAGTAGATAAGTGACCTAATTGATGATGCCAAATATCTCCTACGAAAAAAGCATCAGCATGAGTAGTGACAGAGTGTACGGATGCGGAATGGGTGATAGAAGTGGATGATAGTGTTAGATGATCCATAATGTAAAGTCCATCACGCCTATGTCCCTGACCAACCAAGGCTTCGGTCTAACGATCCTGCACATAACAAGAAGTAGAGTCAAAAACCACAATACAATTATGATCAGTTATTTGACTAACTGAAAGTAAGTTCAATGAAAGATGTGGTATGTGTAAAACAAATGAAACAGATAAGCGACCAGTAATAGATCCCTTATGTGTAGCAGAGAGAGGATCCATTTGTTGTAAAAACATTGACTTGAGAAGGTAAAGGTGATGGAGAAGATAAAACAGGTGCATGTGGAGTCATATTTAAGGAAGCACCAGAGTCTAGTATCCAAATATTTTTCGGTATACCTGTGGGACCAGAGGTAGTGAAAAAAGTATGACCAGAGGTACCAGATGGAGAGGGTGTAAGGACACTCAGAGCATCAACTGGAGAGGAGATAGAGGTGTCCCGCCCTTGAAGCATCTGGATCAATTATGGAACAGAAAGAGTAACACTCGAAGTAGATTCCTCAGGAGCACTAGAGAAAACAACCGGGTTTGTAGAACACTCATCGGCAAAAGATTTATCACCAGAAATTACCACAATAGCAGTCGATCGTTGACGAGGATGTCGGTTTTCAACTTGTTGTTGCTTAAAACAATTTTGGATGATATGTCCAGGACGACGACATTACCGACAATAATTATTCCTTTGTTTATTGGAAGAGACTGATGGTGCTGAAACAGTGGCCGAAGATGAATGTGGTACAGATGGTTGTTGAGCAACCAGAGCACCTTGAATAGAAGCAGTCTTTGTGTTTAGGACACGTTGGTGAGTCTTCAGCGATAAGTTCGGCAAAGGCATCATCAAGAGTTGGTAGTGGTGACCGATGAAGAATTTGACTGCGCAATGACTCATACTTAGGTCGTAGACGCATCAAGAATTGAAATAGTCGATGTTGATCGCGGACATGATGCTGCTTGGTGGCACATGCACAAGCCGCACAAGTTTGACACAAAGGTTCCTCCATTATTGCAAGTTGGCGCCATTGAGCATGCATAAAATTATAAAAATCTTGGATGGATCGCTCATCTTGTTGAGCAAAAAAGAGTTCTTAGTAGACAAAATATGAGTGAACATGACTAGATTGTTGATAAAGTCATTACAATTGGCGTCACATGGCAAGTGCAGTCTGGAGACTAACAAGCTGCATGCGGATGTCAATCTCTACGGAGGAAGAAATAATGTCATGTGCTCGGCAGTCTGCAAGAGCCCATGCCGCTGTTTTCTTAACATCAGCTCCAGATTCAGGAGGCGGCATGCCATCAATGTGGCTCGTGAGATCAAGAGCATCAAAAAGAAGTTGCACAGAAATCGACCACTCACGATAATTGGTCCCTATAAATTCACATCAAGCTGAGGAAACTTTTCAATAAAGTTTGCAGCCATGTTTAAAATAGAACCCAAAGGTTTAAAATAGAACCCAAAGGTTAGAAAGAAACCTAAATGTTAGGATGAAACCCGAAGGTTTAAAATAGAACCCGAAGGTTAGAAAAAAACCCCGAAGGTTTAAAATAGAACGAACCCGAAGGTTAAAGTGAACCCGAAGGTTAGGATGGTCCATTTTTTTAGTAGAATAATGGAATATAAATTCAACTAGTGTTGCTCGTGCCTCTCTCTCCTCTCAAAAGAAAAGCCCAACAAAAAGAAGAGCCCAACAAATTCTCTCTCTAAATATTCAGTAACCTGGCGGAACAAAATGAAAAGCCCAAACCCAATACAGAAAAAACACACAAAAGCATCTCTCTCTCAGCCTCCGGTCTCACCGCTCGAGAACTCCTGCGTCGGATCTGAAGTAGATTCGAGCCTTTACCGGAGTAGATCGATCCGAAGTCGATGCCGTCAGATCTGAATGGAGAATCGGACGGGGGATGCCGTCGGATCTAAACGGAGAATCGGACGGGGGCCGCGGCGGCGGCTGCAAGAGTCGGCAGATCGTATACTCCAACTAATTTAATTGATAATTGTTTTGTTATTAATGTTGCTAAAATTGATGCAATACATAGATCATGTTAACCTTTCTTTTAAAAAATTACATAGTTTTGTCATGTCATCAACGGAGGTTACTGACATGGCCGTCGGATCTGAACTAATTGGTGAGCCTTGTGTTAAATATTATTATGTTGTGACACCACTTTCCATAAATCATTTATCCACCACTGACTATTCCTATATATATATGTATATAGACTGTGTAGTAGGAATGACATTTTTCTACAAAATTGAATGCCTAGAACTTTGATATGCGTATTAGTTTATTTTGATAATTTTCTAGCTTTGGTTTAGGAACTAGTTTTTGCCAATTGTCTTTCCTCAATTTTAGTGATCATAATCTTTGACCTTTAATTTAAACATGACCTGCAATCTTAGATTTAAGAGTAACTCCTATTTAATACAATCATCTAATCTTAGAGAAAGAGTTATTTCTAATGAAAATAATTGTTCTAAATATGTCCTTTCTGGTTGGAATGTATGTAATTATGTGCTACTGTTTTGCATCATGTTTTAACTTATTAATTACTTAGCCTATTGCATCTTATTTCTTTCTTTAATTTTTTTTATTGGTACTTATTGTTTTCAGAAATATTATAAAAAAATGGGCTCACTCGATGGACTCCCTATCGATATCTTGCGACTGATAGTTGAAAAGATAGTTGGTCATGCAGATGTTCTTCGGTTTGGTGCTGTTTCTAGGAAATTCCGCTCTTTTGTCATGGATAATCTTCACTCACTTCCGTCGAAATTACCATTGTGCCTCTGTGTCCTGCCTAGTAAACCCCCTCCCCTGCCATTGCTAATGCAGTGTAATGACAACGAGTGGGAAAACATCAACTTCTTTTCTATTTCAGATGGGAAACGGCACGGGGAGTTTCTCGTGCCAGAAATAAGAAATAAGTGGCCTGTTGGATCCCGTTATGGTTGGTTGTTCACGGTTGATACACAAGGTAGAAGCATACAGCTGCTGAATCCGCTAACAAGGGCCCAAATCCCTCTACCATCGCTTGACGCATTCGAACATCCCACTAGTTGGGTCAATTACGATGGACACACTGATTTCGGATTTGTTCTTAAGGCTGTCATATCATCAGATCCTTCAAATAAGAGGAGAAATTTGAATGGTGATGATGATTGCATACTAGTGATTGCAATCATCACTATGTTTGAAGTGCTATCATTTTGTAGGGTCGGAGATGACAAGTGGACTAATGTAGAGGGTTCCCCCTTGTATATCAAAGATGTCATCTGGTACAAGGGTGAGGTTTATGCGGTTGACGGGTATGGGGTAGCTGTTGTTTATGATTTTGCAGGTGATAAGACGATCAAACAAATTGCATATTCACCGGACGATTTACTTGACTGTGAGAGGTATCTGGTTGTGTTGACAAATGGAGACTTGCTACAAGTTGTAAGAGAGAGAGAGTATGAACGGTCAGACAAAGAAGAAGATGAGTTTTTGTTGCCAACATGTGATTTTGTGGTGTATAAGCTTGAAGTTTTTGATGAGCCAGTCAAGCCTGAAGGTGTTGGCTACTCCACCCTCAAAACTCGGGGCACCACCCTCGACCGCAGAATCCCAACTAACCACAAATTCAAGTTTAAATGGGTTGAGATGGAAAACTTGGGAGATCACGCGATATTCGTGGGTCAGAACTACTCATTTTGTGTGCCTGCAGGTGAATACCAAGGATGCAAGCCAAATTGCATATATTTTACAGATCATGGAGGGCTCCATAGCATCATTGCAAGGGGAAATTTGGACCAGGAGAAGATCCATGAATACTCTGCTTGTGACATGGCCATTTATAACTTCAAAGATAAGCATTTTGAAGAGTTTACCCAACTAAATGACAGGTATCATGTCCCGCCCATTTGGATCACTCCAAACCCATGGTAGATAGATGTATTGTTCGTTATTTCGATCTTGTTTCCGATATGTGAGGTTTTTATTTATAGGGTGTGGCCAATTCAGTCAGGTACCTTAATATGTTTATGCAGTGTGTGGTTAATTTAGTCAAGTGCATTACTCTGTATGTGAGATTTTTATATATGCAGTATGGTTAATTTATTTAAGTACATTACTCTTGTCTATTTTTAGTCCTATGCTCTCAGATTGTTAAACATTTGCAGGACCTGAAAACTAGTTACCAGCTACGTTGAAGATAGAATTGGTAGAGGAAACCAATCCTCAGACTCGGGTAATATGCTTACGTTTATAGGCAGTAGTGATCCAACAATTTTTTAACTCAATTCAATTTTATTTTATTTCATTATTTTTTTATGTAAATATATATTCAAAATGAGCGCTTCCGGAGTCTATCTACGAGCACTGGAAGGATAGAAGGGTTTTAATATTTTGTCGGTCATGACAAAAGAAGAAACAAGTTCAAATATTTGGCGTATAATTGTAGGTTTATAGTTAATACTTGGGGTGATAATTGGCAATTTGTCAGACATGAAATGAATAATTAACCGTCTATTATAGTATCAAAATTTGACGACTTAGGGCCCGTTTGGATAATTAAAGTATTGAAAGTAAGAAGTAAGTTACAGAAGTAACTTTCAAAACTATGAAATAGGAAGTAGCGGAAATAGCATTTTTTTTTTTGTTTCGTATAGTTTCTCTTCACCCAGCGATTCGAAAGGTACCACCAGCGGCTCAGTCGAACTCCTCTGTTGAGCGACTCCATCGAGAACCTGAAATGCCTAGCACAGTATCTAACCACCATCGAGCACCTTTTGTTGCTGCCTACTCTCCCCTAACCACTTGTAGGTCCTCTTCCTCAAAACCTAAACCCTAATTTGAATATTATCTGAAATGTTTGTGTATTTGTTAAAAAAATTTGGGCATTTTCTAATTAGGGTTATCTACACCCTCAAAAAGTCTCTGCTACTCGAGAAGCCTCCAGCGAGACTATCGGATGTTACTTTCCACCTCCAGTGAGGCTGCCTTCTTCTATCTCTAGCTTGTAAGTTCTTTTCAGATTTTCCTTGGGGTCGTTTGAGAACTGTGCTTATATGAATGAATTTTTTTTATTTATGATATTTCTTTTATATTGTTCCTTTTATATTTAGATATTATCATCTTGAAATTTTCTATGAGTACTCTATATGAAAAAGAATCTCTATATGAAGAAGCCAAAGAGGGAGGACGGTGGTGAGAATCAGAAGAAGGTTTAGTTCCTTTGTTTTCTTTCATTTATGTTAATTTGGATGTTTTTGTACTATGAATTTTGATTTTTTTCCCCCTTTGTGCTAATTTAGTGTTTGAATGTAGGACTATATTAGGTGGCAGAAGGATAAAAAGACTACTGTACTTGTAGACAAATTTAAGCTGAGTTGTTCGCAGATTCGTTCCTTCTCTTTGCACATTTTTAATCAATCAATGCTAAAGCTTGTTATAATTAGATGTTTGTTTCAATCTTTGAAGAACTTGTTAAAGATTGTGATTATTGTACTATAATTATAATACTATGGAAACTCTAAAGCAATAAGATAATTTATTAAATAATTATTTGATACATGAAGTTTATTGAATGATTGGCGATCTTTAAAAATGAAAGCAAAGGTAATCAACTTGACCATAAAGCGAATCACAACATTTTAGTTGTCATGTTTTGAGTAATAAACAAATGGTACTTTATGCAGTAGAGAAATGAGAATGAAGCTTAATTTAAAAAAACTTATTTGGACTATCATTCAAGATGTGTTAAAGCGACAAAGACGTGTATGGATATATTAGGTCTATGTGTCTCTGGTTTCCTTTACTTATCTTGGTTTCAGCCAAACCCTGAAACAAGATGTTATGGCTCTTTCTTTACATGTGTGATCAACATGTCAAACTTTCTTAGATGTTCTTGAATGTTCATTTGCAAGTGGATTTAATAAATTTCACAATCTATAAAAGTTTTTTTTTAATTGGAAACTGTTTGATTTGTTAGTCGGAGAATTCGCTAGTCAAAATCGGGATTTCACTATAGGGGCTGTTTGGTTCACTATTATAAGGGGTGGAAAACTCAGAAAACCCCTCCACGTCAGATTTTTATCCCTTCACGTCAGTTTTTTTGTTTCCGTCCATTTCTTTGTGCCGCTTTGGTGCTCGAATGGAAGAGGGAAAACTCTGCTGAAATCGCCGCCAACTAAGATTTTTCCCCCTCTCCGATTTCCTTCCCCAACCAAGTGAAATTGATGAAAACCCTGTCACGTCAGATTTTTTTTTCTTCTCTGCTTTGTTTACAAAAGTTTTCCTTTTTTTTCTATGCGAACCAAACATAAGAAAAATAAATATATTGGTTTCCCACCATTTTTTATGTGCGAACCAAAGCAAAACAATCTATTTCTTGGAAAAGTTTAGAAAACTCAAAACTTGTGTTTTTTTATATGGAATTGCATTTCTCTATATCAAGGAAACGAACCAAACAGCCCCATAATGGAAAATGTAGGTGTGTAGTTAACATGATATAGAGACTTACATTCATCTCACAGGCACATGCTCGTCATGCATTCTTCAAAGAAGTTATCGCATGGTTATATTTTAAAGGAAAAATATAACATCATTCACATCGGGTATTTCTGTCGTCATGCATCTTTTATTATATTTTCTTTTGTAGTGACACAGTTTCTTTTGCATTGCATTCCCTATTCATAATATCTTTTTACTCGTATGAAAAATCTTCAGTTGCGGGTGTATTTGACAAGTTACGCTCTTGAGCAAATGGTGCAAGCAGCAAGCTCTACTGCTGGACTCAGAACCATCAAGAGGGTTGATCAGACTCTGCAGGATCTTGGAGACGTTGTTAAAAAACAATTTAGTGCTTTTACCTTTTTCCCGGCCTTTAGTATTTTTTAGCTGAAATTGTCAGTCTTGTTGACTTTGAAATCCAAATTGTTTCTTCCAAAGATTCATTTTGACATATCACTATTCATTTCCTTTCTAGGTCCATTTAAAGCCAAAGATCCCGACAAAATCCGTTTGTGCAGAACATCTTGAATTACGTAAAGAAATTCTCACACCCTGCTCAATTTACAGAAACATGTTTGTATTCTGAAAATCTGATTATCCTATTATCTTGCATATGCCATCTGTGAACGTGAAACCGCGTGAGGAGAGTCAGTGGGGGCCACCATGTGATTGAAGCAAAGCAAAGACGCGTTTTTGTTTTTTTTTTTGTTTTTCCTTATTGCGGACATTAATGCAAAGGCCCACCCGATTGTTATGCTGTAGGTATATAAATAGCATTTATTCGGTGACTTAGGTTTTGGCGTGCGAGAGAGTTTGCTTGGCGGCTGCAAGGTGCGAAGGCTGAGGGGGAATAAACGGCAGCAAAGCAAAGGAAATTTGGCTTTTGGCGGCTGCAGCGGGTAAAGAGCAGAGGGTGAAAAGAAACTTTTGGGCGGCGTGCAAGCAAAGCAGAGAGAGAAAAACAGATAGCTTTTTGGCTGTTTTGAAGAGGAGTTCTGTGCAGCGTCTCTTAGGTTTTAGTATCCCTATTTGTATTCTCCTCTCTAATAGTAGATCTCCCTCTCCTTGCCCCGTGGACATAGGCAGTTTGTCGAACCACGTAAAATTAATTGTTTGAGTTTGTGGCCATTGTAATAGTTTTTTAGGATCCCTCGACGCGCAGTCCTAGAGCTGACGAGAGGAAGAGCTAATATCCCACTTTGATGAGATATTAGGCTTCAGATTCTTGTTCCCTTTGAGAAACAAGAATTCTTATCGATCTTTCTCTCTTATTGTGCATCAGAAACTCTGCCGAAATTTCCGCTGCGCACAACACCATCAACCTTTTTGCTTTAAATCTATCTCATTTTTTTAACCTTTATATAATTTGCTGTTTGTTATGTTTGCTTTCTATATTCTTCAAAAGTTTTGCCACCTGTCCATGCGAGCAGCTCTTTGATGGTTAAACCGTTTAACATTTTGACTGGAAATATTAATTCCTTTATCACATGTTTGAAATGTCACCTGCACCTCAATAGTCAAAACAATCTGTACCAAATAATATGGTTAGCTTCTGGTTTTCACTAATTCACTACGTGGAGCTATCTTTTCAGCTGAAATTAAAAGGACTTGTTTTAATTTCCAGTAGAGTAAATATTGCATTGAACTAAAGCTATGAAGTCATTTTTATTTGCCATTTCCCATGACCTCCATTTGTTCTATGACAGGTGCAAAATAGAGATGCTGAAGCTGCAAACCGTGACAGCTTCATACACATAAGCATCAAGCACTCCTAAGGTAAATGTTAGCCACAGATCTTTGTACTCGTTGGGGCTAATTAAGACCCCAACGGTTGTAAAATGTTAGCCACAGTTCTTTGTACTCGTTGTACCCGTTGATTAAGGCCCCAACAGTTCCTTTATAACCGTTGGGGCAAGTTTTTCAACTGTTGGGGCAAAATCGGCCCTAACGCGCTTTGTCACAACGGGTGTATTAGCAACCCCAACGGTTGTAACCGCTGGGGACACTCTCTGCCCCAACGGTTACAACCGTTGGGCTGCTACATTTTGTAGTAGTGGTAATAGGAGAAATTAGCTCATCCTGATAAAAATTTCCCTCTTAATTATACTAATTTGTACTTAGAAACTTCTAAATTTGTTTATTTTGTAGATTCATTGACACACTCATATCCATATGTTGGTTCAATTAAATGACTGTTCATCTTATAGAGGAACTTTTTTTTGGTGTCCATATAGTTAGTGTCTGCTATTCAATTTTTATTATATCTCACCCTCTAATAATATTGCGAGTTCAAGGATTGTTTAGAATTTAAAAAACTTATTCCTAGCTTTGCAAATGTATTCTCAAATGATATTCTTTTTTGAGATTGATCTCGAATTAATTTGGTTTTTGTTGTTGTTTTGTTTTTTTGGTACGTATTGTGCAGCTCGAACAAGAAACCCACTCCCAGCTTGGGGATGTGACTATAGTTTCTTATAGATGCGGCTACATTTGGTTAAGCGTATGAATCATAGTTTTGTGTAGTTGCTTCATTATTTATTTAATTGTATAGTTGCTTAATCATATTTTTGTGTAGTTCATTTTTATTATTGAAAAATATGGAAAAGTATGAAAGGA